CATTAAACCGCTAATCCTTTCGTGGTTCTAAATAATGATGAATGTAAATGAATGATAAGCATTAGCTCCTCACTTATGTAAATAGGCATATTTCGTTTTGATTTTGAGACTGACAGCAATCCTATTCACCGCTAAATTATCTTAATTCAAGAAAAATGCTGGATGTTTACAGTTGTGATCAATATACCAGTTCAGCTCAGACGTTATCACGCGTATTCTCGATGAGCTTCAGTGAAACTGTGGAGGGTCTAACACAGTCAATAGTGAGATGGTTAATGGAGTATCTCATGCTGATATTCCATGGGTCCTCCAATTTCGCTAAAGCCTGCCGTGTGATGCGCGCGATAGCGGGCGAAGCAAAACTGGTCTAAAATAAACCCCATTAATGTAAAAGGGGCCGTAAGGCTGGCATGCTTCCAGGTGTCTGAATATACGACGCACGAAGAAGATGGCGCAAATTTTGAATGGACATTTAATCTGTGGGGGCACCCGTTCATACTTTTTCCGATTACGTGTATACTAAGCGTGTTTGAGACAAAATACATACGGTCTATTTCAACTCTTAAATAAATCAGAGGTCTTCTGGGTGATTTATCGGCGATCGAGAAAAAACTTTTCACCACATGACCTGACCCTTGGTATTTTTTCAAGGGTTTTTTCAAGGGTGCGATGAAATGTGAGAGGCGAAGAGGTTGAGCGTTTTCAAGGCGAGCTGATCGAAGCCACACAAAGAGATGTTCGCGTAGTTTTTCCTCTGACGATTTCATTTCATCAAAACATAATAGGCTTCCTAGAGTCACTTAACAGTTTCCAAAACATTACTCAGCATTCTTCATGAATAAGTGAACATATTAATGAACAAGTACCCAGCAACTGCGCCAAAAACCTGAGTAGGATAAGCCCAAGAGCAATTACTTGATTCTTCAGAAGAATTTTCTATAGAAAGTAGAAAGTAAAAACAAACTTAATTTCTCTGAGGGCACGCACAAAATGGGATTCGAGTTAACCTTTTTGAGTACTTCAGCTACGATAAAGGCTAAATAGCGACGTCACTAGCGTTATTCAGCACTCTGATGCGCGCATGGCCCCCAGGCTTACTTCAAAATTCGCGGTCGCGACTGAATCGATAAGCAACGCCGGTCGGGATTTGCCTACACAACACAAACCATTCTAACCACTCCAGACGACTGGACTAATAACCTTGATCAAAATAGGAAAAATTTGATTGGTTAACTTGAGATTATTTAGGGTACTGCAAGAAAGGACATGAAGTAAATGTTTTGGTGCTAAACAGCTTTTTTCAGTACGTCCATGGATTCGTCTTCCATTATCGTTGCAGTGATTGAATGCGATTTCTGCCATACAATTATATAACGACTTTCGTTATATGTCAGAAGATGTATAATTCAGTGTTGTGATCTTGATGGACGAATCTGATACCAGTAACCCTGTCCCAAGACGAGGAAAAGCCTAGGTAGCTACGAGGTTGAGTTCGACCCGAGAATTCGCCCCCCCCCCCAGGTGTAGGAGAGCATCTGAGGCCCTAATCCAATGTGAAACTTTTATTATTAATCTTATTTGGTTTAGTTGTTATACTTATGGCATGTGTTTCGGCCGTTGTAGCGATGCTCAACATCGTTACAGTATACCCCATAGTAGAAACTTGGCTATGTGCAGCGAATCCTTTGGCTCTTTCTCTCGAAAGAAACTGATCATTTTCGCGATTCGATTAGAATTTGATACCAAAAATTGGCGCACCAGCGCTGTGGTTGTCGTTATCACCGAACAATTGTGACTAATAACCCTCCGAAGCCGTTATCAAACGCCTATCTGTGCGCTCCGTCACCCGACCGTTACTGTACAATGAACAACGAAAAATGCGCAAGGTCAATTCTCATCTTTCTCTCATCGTCGTCACTTCATCACCGTCAACCATCGTATTCACTGTGAATAACTTCGTATAGCATACAAAACCCACCCAAGCCCGGCTAAACCCTAAGGGTACTCTTCGAAGTTTATGACCACTCATTCTTTTAGGGTTGGCCCTCGATACAATCCAGCACAGCCACGAATTAGCTAAGGAAAGTTCGTAACAGGGTGGGTCAATCTCCCTGAAAAGCGGTTTAAAACACTCCCTCCTCTATCGCCATCACGATCGTCAGTTCCACAAATAGTGCCCCCTTCGCGACCGTTTGATATTCCCCTACCCCAAACACGACCCCCTCCCAAAATTGCAAACACACCCCTTCTCATTGGTACCTGTACCCACGGATGACCCTGCTCTCGAGCTTCCAGACAAACCCAAAACCCTGAAGCTCCCGGAGCAATGTTGCGAGCGGAGTTTCAGGTGCCGCGCTACTTTTAGCGTGTTTGTTCAACAGCAGCGCTGTACTAACACACTCTAATTTCCGGAGCGCTCACTGAGGCTTCCCCTCTGTCAGCCAGCCATTGAATTGAGTCGCAAAAATGAAAGATTAATCAACATATTGGAACAAATTTGGAACGAAAAGCATCAAATAAGTAGATGAGAACTGAACATACCGACTAGAAGGAGAAATAAGTGGTGTGAGCAGTTCAGAGCCAACAATTGGCGCTATGAATCCCGGTGATAGAACTTTCTTTTCAAATTCAAAATTATGAATCTGTTGAACCGTACGGAGAGGCATCTGAAAGTGGCAAGGGTTGAACAAAACTCCAGGCAAATGATCGCAGCTGTTCATGAATGATCATCAGAAAGATGAGCGGATAATTAGAGGGGGCAAAAAGTGAATGGAACATCGCAGAGTGATTATAGCGGAACGAACCAAAGAATCCTTGAGCGTACTGCTTTTGTTCGAGTGTCGGATCATTGCGCGGTTCTGAAAAGGCCAAAAATCACCAGGTGGAATACGAATCAGATCGCACTGACAGCAGTTTTGCCCCCTCATTGGCGCTGTTCCGTACGTCACAGCAGCCTAAGGACGACCAGCCGGTTGTCAGCAATCCGCCACCCATCGTGACGCGACGACAACCCTCATCAGCTAGCCCCGTTAGATTCACATTAGTACGCGACAATGAGGGTGGCCGGTGGCACGTGAACGAAGAACGGACACAAATAAGCAGTGAAATAGTCGGACTCACCGTTATTTGTGGTTACCGGCTGAGGATTGCGTAGTTTACAGTTGGATAGGTCGAGTGACAATGTGCCCCTGAGGGCTTGAAACTCGCCCTTCTGATCGAGAGCCAGAGAGCCGCCGAGGGCCTGGAACTCGCCCTTTTCGCCATCCATGACTCAGCCGGCCAGCTCCACCGTCGCACACTGAATCATTCGCAGTCTCTAGCGGCGCAAATCGATGACTCGGCGCTATCGCAGGCGGCGATCGCGTGGCCGCACGCGGCGACACATTGCGACCACACACAATCACCAACCGCACGCACATACACACATACATACAAACACATGCACAGAGAGCGCACCATACCAGCGAGAATTGGCGCTGAACGATTCGTGGCGGCGCGCATGGCGTTGTGTGACGGAGTGACGTCACGCAGGTGTGCGGAAAAACGTGAAGACGCAGGTTTCGGACGATTGCCCGAATCGGCGGAAATGAGCCAAACGGCGGGCGAAAAAAGAGGATGACGTAGTTAAAGCGATAAAAAGGAGGCTACCCTGGGTAGGGCACACGCGTTTTTATGGATGCCACGGCAACCAGGACAGTTGTAGCGATGTTCTACTTGTCGTCTTGGCAAACACCGCAGTCGCCACGGCACGGCAGATTACGGTAGGGTAGGGGGTATCGCGACGGCGATAACAAGCTCTTCTACGCGCTAATCATTACATCACACGGAGGTGTTTAGGTATGCGATTGTGCTGTGTTGCGATTGTTGCTTAGAGACGAGCAACAAAATCCGCCCAAAGTCTCTCTCTGCCGACGGGATCCCGTTGGATTTCTGTGTCTGCTTGATTCATTCCACTTTTTCCTCAGAGTATCACATATTATGTACGTGCGAAATGGTCGTGAACGCGGAAGAACTGGATTCATCACGAGAGCCGTGCGAAATAGCTGGCAATGGGTGGAGACGGCTGGCCCGACAACGAGCGCCTTTCTTCGCGTCTCATCGGCAAAGTGATCAGTCACTCAGCCGGTGACGCCGTAGAGCAGGTGGAAACAAGGCACACACATATCAAGAATTTCTTTAATTTATTCCTTTCATCATCTACGAATTCACACATACATAGAACGAATAGACAAACAGACAGTAATATACACATACGACACGACAAAATTACGAATAAATCCTAAGCACGTAATAGTTTCATCAACACCGAGATGTATCACCCAGCTGGTTGAGAGATTATGCTAATTAGGCAGCGTTCAGACTTGGCGATCGTACGATCGTGCGATTAGGCGACTGGCGATGATTCAAGAAAGGTATACTTATCGATTAGGCGAGCGAGCGATATGACGAGTAGGCGATAAGAAAAGGATACGAATCGATTGTTTGCTCCGCCCACTGAGCGATCGCCTACTCGCCTAATCGCCTAATCGATACGTATTCCTTTCCTTATGTAATAATCGCTTGATCGCCTAATCGCATGCGCGATCGCCAACTGTGAACGCTCCTTAACACGACGACGAGTTCGAAATGATCACAATTGGTCACCCTGAATGGGAGCATCAGTATCAGCAGCAGTACATCATACATCAAGCGATATCTGCGGTTGTCGTCGTCGTGACAGCGGGAGAGATAACACACGTGACAATTACGAACAGTTGACAGCACAGCTCTAACAATTATCAGAGATACAAAGAAGCTCATTGGATAGATTAAATGAAATGAAATTTCACCAAATTCTTAGGCCTACTTAGGCCTTTTAGGCCTACACATTCAGGACTTCTATACATCACAGAAATCGGAACTCGTTCAAAAGGAATGAATGAAAAAATCTGAGTACTAATCAATTAATCTTAATCAAATGACGAGAGGCATCCGTTCAGCAACAGCAGTTTGAACGTCGTTCACTTCAGCCTCCACCGCCGTCGTCTCGGGACTCCGTTGAGTACAAAGTCCAGGCAGTACTTCTCGTACTCTTCACTGTGACTACGGTAATGCTGGCAATGCATCGAGTCTTTCCACATGTGACGATAGGTTTCGGCACCCCGTTGCTCTTGAATTGAAGCGAAGGCCTCGATTGACTCGCATGAACAGACCTGAAATTGTTGATCATTTGCCTGTGGAGCTTTCCAGCAACGCTGGCCAAAAATCGAAATATGAAAAGTAGAATCGTTCTAGAAATCGATCAATTTCTCAGGCTACGCCATAGCCTTGACTTTTCCTCAAAATCGTGAAAGTATTTGAGCTGATATCACAAGAGTTCTCGGATATTGTGTCATGTGGGTGGTTTATGTGGTGTAGCAGCAGGTAGGGTCGGCCGTCGTCCGTGGTACAAGCACAACTATAGGGTCGTATTTGCGGTCTTGGGAGGGGTGGTGTCGTATTTGTGGAAGTTGAGGGGTCGTGTTTGCGGAAAGGGGCCGTTTTAGACGTACTTTTTTTAAATTTCTGGAAAAATTTCAGAAAGTAAGCATCAAGTGGTCAAAGTTAGAGGCCGTTTTAGTAGATTTATTGCTGGGAGTCGTAGCAAGATCCTCTCGGAAGGGGGGAGTATCGGTAAAGTTCCGGAAAAAGTACCATTGCTAAGGTTACCCTAGTAGAAGATAACGTTTGATACCAGGGGGCATGGTTGAGATGTCCAACCCGAGAGGAATCCTACCCAGTCCAATGGACAACATTCCAGGATAGGTCAGCAGGCACCAGGCAGTTCTGGTAGGATAAAAACCCAGGCACATCCTATGACATCGTCAAGTCCTTGTATAGGCCTAATCTCACTTAAAATTCCATCGCGAATCCGAGTAGGATGCGTGGCGCATTTCAAAAGGGCTGATCTAAGCAGAACACTTCTTTCTGATGACAAATCGGTAGATTAGTAGTTCCACCAAGTACTGATAACTAATCAGATTAGGGAACGCCCATAAGAGACTGACGTTGGCACAGAAAAAGAACTGTATGGCTAATAAAACGTCAAAGGGCCTCGCCCTAATGATAAGATTGCCCTGCCCTGATGAATGCTCCCAATCTACATACTTCTTGACCGTTTCAATATCGTTTTTTGACTCCTCTCCCAGAACTATAGGTTTGAAAAAGCTTTTCGTTTTAATGGAACCTTTTTTGAGGTGGGCCACGAACCCTGCAAGGCTTCCATTTAAAGTCAGAAGTTTTTGAACAAAAAACGCAGTTTGCTGCCTTTTTTGAAGAAATCGCTTTTTGCGGTCGATTTTTTTTGTTAAGTGGTAAAGATATAAAGCATTCAACAGTAATAAGCCTTCTTGGGATGTGCCATGCATTTTACTTCCATGCAGAACCGTATTGGCTGTTGGGCGCGATTTGTGCTGTACAATGCGAGCTGATGTACAATGAATGTTTTTTATCCTTCCAGATAGCCCTGGTATCGAATCACTGACACTGTGAGATGGAAGGCTTGACTGGAACGGGAGGTGTGCTACCCAAGGTTTGACCCCCGCATCGTGCGCGTGGTCAACAGCGCCACTTACCACCAGACCAAGCCCCGTCACTTGTCAGCCATTAATATGACTACACAATCATATGTACTTCAAAAACTTCAAGCCCTATTTATGCAAATATGAATTAACCGTCATGATCCTGAAAGCCGGGTAGGGGGTTAAACCCTGGGATACACAGCTTTCGAAATTCGAAATCTGTCGCATCTAAGCATAACAGCTGCTAAAATTTGTCACGAAACGAGACTTTAAACTGAAGAACGCGCAACGTCAATGACTCACATTATCGCCGGGACCATAGAAATATATTTGTCTCATTGGCAGGTCCTTTAACGAAAGCATCCGATAGTAAGCATAACATCTCTCATAAATGTCGTCTTCCATAAACGACCACATCCATACCAAAAAGCTGAAATGGCAGTAAATTAAATGAGAATCCTTCCTTTTATATGCTTATTGCCCTATTCGAACTACTGGAATATTTCAAAGAAAATTAGTCATGGCTATTTTATACCATTTTATACATCTACGTCAAGTATAAATATTGTAGAAAATCCCCATTAGTTCACATTAGATGTCTATACAATTTCCGCAGTAGCTCGAGCATTTCCCTCTGAAGTGTCGGTCAAACGAGACTTTGAATTCTCCAGGCATTTGTCGTGGTTGTTGGATGCATGGCGCACACACAGAAAGAAAGATCAAAGATCATCCGCTTTTCTCTATTTTCTCAGGGTACGGGTTCTCTCCAGTTGATACCACAAACTTACCGGGTCTGTTAAGTTCATAGCACAACTGGAGGGATCTCAACAAAAAATGCGGATACTTAAAAGGAATTTTTTGTCCTTTTTAACTTGTGTTTCTGAAAATTTGAGGGTTTTTTTTTTGGAAAT